TCCTCCTCCTCCTCCTCCGTCTCCTCCTCCCCCTCTTCCTCCCCCTCCCGAGAGGCCGAAAACTGGGAGAAGCTGCCGTCACTACCCGTCGGTCGGAAGAAGTGGGAACAAACATGAAGCAGGAGGGCGCTGAAAGCAGATTAGGTGTCCGCCCGCCCCGCAAGAGGACGGAGAAGGTGAAGCCACTCGACCATTGAAGTAGGAAGGCGCTTTCAAAGTTGATTGGAATTTTCTGGGAATCCAGAAATACATACTTTCTGATGGGCCTGTGTCCCACCACCACCACCACCACCACCATAAGTTGAAGGGGGGAAGGAGGTGGAGGATGAGGAGGAGGAGGAGGAAGAGAAGGAGGAGGAGGAGGACCCCTCCCCCTCCAACTTATGGTGGTGGTAGTGATGGAAAACAAGCCCATCACTTTCAACGACCGATTGGTACCTTCTTGCGTCGCCCAGATCGGATCGACGGCGGCGCCGCCCAGATCGGATCGACGGCGAGCCCGGGGGGGAAGCGAGAAAGGGCAGGCCATCTCAGCAGGCTCGGAAGTTCCCCAGCCTTCTGAGGAGTTCTCCAAGCCTTCCAGGAGGACACAGACCACCTCTCAGAAGGCGCGAGGGCTTCAGAGAAGTCCCGCCGCCTTCTGGGAAGGCCTTCTCCTTCTCGCTTCCCCCCTCGTTCGCCGCCGATCTGAGGAATCAGCATCATCGTCAGCATCCCCCAAAACGGAGGCCGCCTTGACGGCCTCGTAGAGCAGCGGCGAGGTGTCGCCGCAGGTGTCCGAGATGCGGACCCAATGCAGCCCGATGCAGTGCCACGCGAACGTCAGCAGGCACATGAGCATGTTGTAGAGCCGCACGTACCTCAGGGGACTTCTCCTTCTCCTCCTCCTCCTCCTTCTCCTCCTCCTCCTCCTCCTCCTCCTCCTCCTCCTCCTCCTCCTCCTCATCATCATCATCATCATCATCATCATCATCATCATCATCATCAGCATCATCATCATCATCATCATCATCAGCATCATCATCATCATCATCATCATCAGCATCATCATCATCATCAGCAGCATCATCATCATCATCATCATCATCATCATCATCATCATCATCATCAACATCATCAACATCATCATCATCATCATCGTCGTCGTCGTCGTCGTCATCATCATCATCATCATCATCATCATCATCATCATCATCATCATCATCATCATCATCATCATCATCATCATCATCATCATCATCATCATCATCATCATCATCATCAGCATCATCATCATCATCAGCTCATCATCGTCATCATCAGCATCATCATCATCAGCATCAGCATCATCATCATCATCAGCATCAGCATCATCATCATCATCATCATCATCATCATCATCATCATCATCATCATCATCATCATCATCCTCATCATCCTCATCCTCTTCCTCCTCCTCCTCCACCTCTACCTCCGCCTTCTTCTCCCCTCCTCCTACACCTCCTCCTCCTCCTCCTCCTCCTCCTCCTCCTCCTCCTCCTCCTCCTCCTCATCTTCCTCCTTCTTCTACTCCTCCTCCTCCTCCGTTCCTCCTCCTCCATTCCCTCTCTTATTCCTCCTCCTCCTCCTCCTCCTCCTCCTCCTCCTCCTCCTCCTCCTCCTCCTCCTTCTGAGGGGCAGCGGTAAGGCTCAGGGGAACCAGCCCAGAGGGGGGACACGTCGACCCGGAATCCGCGGTTCCTCGCCGACAGATCGGCGACGGGTCCCAGGCAGCGATGTCCGGACGTGCCTGGGCGGGCTGGGCGATCGGGCCCGCCGTCGGCGACGACTGGGCGATTGGGGGTCGACACGCCATCCCCCCCTGAGCATCTTCCCCCCCCCACGTGGCCCATCAAGCTCTCCCCTCGGCCATCGGGGATCGAAGGAGGACGTGTTGCGCAGTCCTGGGCGCTTCGCCCTCGAGGGAGAGGAAGGAGCAAGAAAGCAGTCGAGGCCGGAGGGGTAGATTGGATTCTTCAACGGGGGGGGGGGGGCGACCCCTGCCCCCGACTTCGGGGGGTTTTAGACTGGACCCGAAGTTGAGGGCCCAACCCTTGGATAGACAACGGGGGGGGGCGTCCATACTCAATGCGGGTGCGACTGAGTAGCCTCCTGGGGGTGTATGCCAGAATTCCACCCTGTTCTGAACGGCCGAACTTTTCGGGCGGAACTCTGGGCTTGGGAGAGAAACATCGCCTTCGATTTCTGGAGGCCTCCAGGGGCCTCCATGACTCTGGAGGCCTCAGGGGGCCGGGGAACTTCAGGGGCGACCTCCAGGGGCCCCCATTACAGGGTCAGGGCCTTGAGCGGGAGGGAACACCTTACAACGGCGAACCGGCAAGCCCTGCCGCCCAGATCCCCGACGACATCTCGGGCAGGCGGAAGTGGGTGGTGACCTAAACGGGGGGGACATGAAAAGGCCCTACAGGCGCCCTGTAGGGCCCCTTTCTGGGCCCCTGCTGGCTCCAAAAGGAGGTCTTAAAGGCCCCGTCTAGGACCCGTTTCTTGATCCCCGCTGTAAGGTCACCCCCCATTACCACCCGCCGGACATGCGCGCAGAACGCAGAACGCAGCTGCCATCGCCCGCGGGGGCGCGCCTACAAGGCGGGCAGGCGGACACGGTGGTCCGCTGGTACCCAAACGGGGCCAGTGAAACATGCCAATACCAAGCTTCTGCGCCGAGCGAATGCTACATACTCTTGTTCATACGATTCTCAATATTTACTGTCATGCGCCACGGTTTCCCATGACTGCCATTGTTTCGAATCTGCGAAATTGCATAGTTCATCCTCCCATCCGGTAAATCGGCCGGGCCTGCTTCTAAGCGGTCGGTGGCGTGATTTCTGCGGCTGTGTTTTCCACCATGAAGCGTTTCTCCAGATGGTGGTGCGTTTGGTCCATCTGGAATCGTCCATTCTGGCAACTCGGCCAGCCCATCTCCATTTTGCTTGAAATTGGTTGTCTACCCAGCAAGGTACTCCAGCTTTCCTCGCCCTTTCCTCTGCGATCCTGGTGGCTCTGCGTATCCATGATGTGTAATCCTCGTCAGGTCTTCTGCCTTGCCCGACCATGCGTCGTAGCATCGATCTCTGCGTGCTTCTAAGTTTCCTCTTTTGTGATACCGCCAACTTCCATGATTCGCTGCACCAGTGCACGGCTTTTGATACTGTCGCGCGGAAGAGTCGGAGGCGCTTCTGTTCGGATGTGCTTTTCTTTCGAAGGACAATAGCCAGACTTGAGAACTTGGCCCATCCCGCTCGTACTCGCGCTTCGAACTCGGTCAAAGTTTTCCCATCCAGCGTGATCATTGTACCGAGCACTTTGAAAACATCTCCACAAATGCATACTGGGTATGTGTCTCCACCGAATGTCATGCAGGTGCCTGCAGGGACTGTCTTCCCACAGCATTGTACGGTGCATTTGTCCACGTTTAATTTCAAACCGATGTTTGCGAATCCTGCTTTTACATACCCCAACATCATAGACAATATTTGCCTTGATCGTGCGATCAAGGTTGTGTCGTCCGCGAACATTCCGTATGTGAACCTGTTGTTTCCCCCTCTCGTCGCTCCCGACGACTGTTCCGTACCCCTTTCGTTCCCATTCCGTTTTGAGTGCGCCCATCGCCTCTCTGAGCGCGTTCGCAAAGAATGCTGGTGACAGAGGGTCACCCTGACGGACTCCCCGGAGTATGTCGAAATACCTGCTGCGGGTGTGCGCGTCGAGCTGGATGTATGCATGCTGCTGGCTGTACAAATCCTGGATCGCGTGCAACTCGTTGTCTGGAACGCCCGCTGCCTGGAGACCCGCAAACACGGCTGAATGCATGATACTATCGAAGGCACTTTTCCAAATCAATTGATGCCATCCATACGGTGTCGCCCAATTCCAAGCTTTTCTCGCCCACCATGCGTAAACAATGAACCAAGTCTTCACATCTATACCCCTTCTGGAAGCCCATATCCTCCGGTGCCCTGGCAGCCTCTAGCAGGGAGTTGATGCGGCGAAGCAAAACAGAACTATACAGTTTGCATAATACTGGTATTATCGCTCTGGGACGGTAGTTGTTCGGCAGTGCTGCATCTCCTTTCTTGAACAGCACTACAATCTTGGATGTGCGCCATTCCGCGGGCGACTTGGCATCTCCATTCAAGAGCTTGCAAAACACATCCGTAATAACATCGACCATGTCGCTTCCGCTGTCTTTCAACATCTCCACTATGATGCCGTCCTCTGCGCAAGCTTTGTTTCTCTTCATGTTGCGAATACAGGCTTCGAAGTCGTTTCTCACACTTACCATCGTAAATCGGCGTTCTGGTCTCGTCGCGGCGCTAACCACTTGAGGTGAGTTGTATAATGGTTCGCAAAAATGCGCAAAACATTCAGCAGTATCGTCTCTGCCTGTGATATCTTGCTTTGGACTCGCGGGTGTCGCTGGATAGCCGGGAGCCGTTCTGCAGAGCCTGAAGCGATCAACTCGTCAAGTTGGTTGTTTGCTTTTCCCGTATGTTTCGCCGCACGGCCCGATTCAAGAGGATTGCGTAGTGTTTGCGCTCATCTGCATTCTTCGCCTTGTTACGCGATTCCCGGAGAAGCTTGATGTCTTCTGCATTGCCCGCTGCCTTGATCAGCGATTCCGCTATCCCTCCACACTCAAAGGCAGCTTGAACGATTGCCTCAGTCAGTGGTGCGACATCTCTATCGCGTCCCTCCAACAAAACGCGTTCAACTTGATGGTACTTCTCTTCGGTAACTTGCAAGCCAGTTTGTTTTGATGTTGATGCCCACTTCTTCAACCCATGAGGGCGGGTACCAAATTTAGCCCAAACCGCCCTGTGATCTGTGTTTTGCATGGAATCTGGAATAATGCGCGTGATTTTTTTTCAGCTCTGTCCGAAGGCATTTGTCCACCAAAATATAATCAATGTGTTGTTCCTCCCCCGTGCTCCACATTTGCTGTGTCCAACTCTCTTCGGGCTCCTTTTGGAAGAAAGTGTTTGCTGCTGCGAATCCACACCCGTCCAGCCACGTCAAAAGTTGGTGCCCCCGTGGGGACCTTGCTCCCAATCCAAACATCCCGACGCTCTCTGGATTGTCATCGTAAGACCGCTGCCCCAACACCGAGTTCGCATCCACTTCTATAACGGATCGTCGCGTCCTTCGTTGTGCAGGCATCGCAGCCCGGAGCATGTCCAATGACGATTCGTATTGTGCATCTGAACGGCCCGCGTGTGGCAGATAGGCAGAACTTGTCCTCCATTTTCCTCGCGCCCCAGAAAAATCAGCATACGCAACGCGACAACCAGCGACGGCATCAAAACCTTCGAACTCCTGCACGACAGATTTATGAATTAACATACCTATGCTTCTTGGCCTGTCCCCGCATGCCGCCACGCACCACATGTGACCTCCCATGAATATGTCTTTGCATGGTGCCTCTCGGCGGGGGCCCTCTTGTACCAAAATCACATCCCAAGCAATATCCAAATTGAGCGCGGTTATCAGAAATGTCATGAATGTTTCTTCGCTCAACCCGGCCGCATTCCAAGAAATAGCGTGCATAATGTGGTGTCCAACGTTTGCTCTACGGTGCTGCGTCCTTACGCCGCGCAGCGCTGCCACAGGAAAATGCCCATCGCAACGCATGTACTTGCCACGGCCCCCTCCTGAACTGATGTGTCTTCCTTTGTCAACTTGTTTTGACTGTTTGTGTAAATCTATGCTACGGTATTTTTCTTCCCCCGGGATCGTCAAAGATCCTCGTCTGTTGCCCTCTTACTCCTCCAAGTTTGCATGAATGCTTGAACTCCCTCTTTGATCTCCAAAGCCACCCCTTTGCATTGGACACCGCCCACCTCCTCCCAACCAACGCGTTCACCTTTGTATTCCACTTCCCGCGAAATCCATTTGATTTTGATATCTGCCAAATCGCATCCTTTCTTTTATTTGATATTATGTAACTCTTTGTCCACCACTCTCTTGTCCCATGTTTCGTTGCTTTTGAAATACATCCTGGCCCCATTGTCCCATGTCAGGTCTACGGAAGATGCCTTTTTCAAGAACCCACATTTCGAAGCATGCGATTTGAACTCCACAACGCCTATTTTCGAGGGGTCCGTGAAAACAAACATATCGGTACATGTACTTTCTGCCCAAAGTCCGTCGATTACCGCCTTCATCTGACGTAATATGTCCTTCTCGTCCTGCGCCTCCTTTAAGCCGGTTGCGATCACCTGGAGCTCCCTGATGCCCTCCTCGACCGCCTGCTCGCTGGAATGTATTATGTTGAAGTGACGTCCGAAATTCTTTCAAATCGTTTTCGAATTTGTCGTCATTCTGCGTCAGTTTCTTTATCTCTTCTTGCACTGCTTTGACTGAGCTCACCGCCGATTCGGCTGCTGCATTGGCCGAGTTGGCGAGAAACTTTACATTAGACATGTCCCGTTCAAGGTTCATGACGGCATCGAACATCTTGTCAAACTTCTCATCCTGTGTCATCTCGGACTTGCTCTTTTTTCCTTCCGGCGTGCTGCCACTGCCGCCATCGCTCTTGCGAGGGCCGCCAATCATGTTCTTTACTGCTTCCATCCACTAGCTAACCCTTATATAGATATCGACCCCTGCACTGGCCAACAGGGATGACAGAATTGGGTGTTTGCGGATTGGTTGAGCCCAAACGTTTACTCGAGCCAAATCTGCGGGATGACAGAATTGGGTGTTCGCGAATTGGTTGAGCCTGGACATGTGAGTTTGTAAATCCTGGCGCTATTCCTCGACTTCGGCCTCCGAAGCCTGGCTTCGGGCCCCCGGGCTGTCAGAAGTGGATCCAGGACCAAAAACTACTCCTGGGGAAGCAGTCGGGACTTCTCGGGCGGGGCGAAAAAAAACATATCGGCGGATGGCAGGACCTGGAACCGAGCTGGAGAACTTGGGACGGCCTGCAGGGTAACGCTCACAAGCGCCTGCCCCTGTGGAGACTCGTGGATTGCGTTCTGGCACCTGGAGAGCGCCACATCAGGATTCGCGCGAGCGCCACACGCGGACAAGTCCTTCTCATCAATCCCCTCCTCAATCTCCCTCCTTCGTCGCCCTCGCCCTCTTCCTTCTTCTGTCGCCTCCTCCTCGTTCGAAGAGGTTGGGATCGTTTTCCTCCTTCGTTTCTGCCCCCTCCTCCTCCCTCTTTCGTCGCCCTCGTCCCTGTCTGCGCCCCTCTTTTATCTCCTCGCCCTTGTACTCCTCAATCTCCTCCTTTTCATCCCCACACTCACCCTCACCCTCCTGATACTCATCCATCACAAATTCCCCTTCCCTTCGCCCCTCCCGCTACCCCTCTTTCCCTCCTTTCCGATGCACGACCCTGCTCCCCATCGTTATTCAGCTTATTCAATGTTAGATATTGCTGCTGAACTTCTCATTCGCATCTCACAGAATCGAGTGATATGTCCTCAGGCCCCCTCGATATCTCCATGTCTGTCAGCGTGGACCGCAAACTGTGGATGTGCAACCGTTGTGACGCAACGTATGTGGTGTGAGCTATGACATGAAAGAAGGTTTTGCCAGCGCCTGAGTTGTCAACTCCACTGCTCGCGAAATCATCCCACCACCCCACCCGCAACTTGGTTTGCCAAAACCATGCGGCGGCGATTGCCATGCCCATTTGGCCATGGCTGGCGCATCTCTGCGGCCGCGCTGGCGCGCGCAAACTCGCGCACAAAGCGACCGGCTGGTTTAGCAGAACCGGTGCGGCCGCTACAGTTTGGCGCTTGCCGATGGCAACGTCCCAGCGCGTGTCAAAGGACGGGCGGGCACTCGAATGCCAGGCGCGGTATCGCGACGACGTTCACAACGGCGGCAACCATGGTGATAGTAGCGGTGGTGGTGGCAACGATGACGATGGCGACGGCAAGGCCAATGACGGCGCCGATGCTGGCAACGTCGATGACGATGATGATGTGCATGTGTCGATGAGGAAGGTGCTTGAGTGATGATGGCGGCAATTGCAGAGACTGTCGATGACGATGACGTGATGCGGCGGCACTGATGAGGGTGATTGTGAGGAATTGCGCGCGTGCGGGAATCCAATAAACCTGGCGAACTTCTGCTGAACATAATCTGGTTGTTCAGACGTTGTTGACAAGCTCTACTTCAACCTGCTTGGAAGAGCATGGTTTGTACGGATTTCGACTCTCTCGCGTGGCGTTGCGCGCGTGTGGCCCGCATGATGTCATTTAATACGGATTCGCGCGCTGGGCGCATGCTGGATCAACGCGGACGCACCGCGAAGTGAGATGAGAATGCGGGTTCTGGGCGAGATTGCTGAGATCATATGCTTTTGATACGGTTTCAACAAGTGCGCGCGGACAGAGCATCTGCAATATTGGTACGACCAAAAGCCGAACGGTGTCTGATCCTTTGTCATATTGGCATCCTTGCAAAATTAATGTTTGATATGAGTTCGACATGTGCGCGCGCGTGTGGACTTTGTTCCATCTGTTGCATCGGGTCCGCGGACCCTTCGGCGTGCGTGAGACGTTTTTCCGTTTGAGTCGTCGTCGTCGTCGTCGTCGTCCTTGTCGTCCTCGTCAGCTTCGTCGTCGTCGCCGTCAGTCATCGGGAAAATCAGGAACAAAGAACTTGAAGAACGTCGTAGTTAAGTCGAAGGGAAGACCTTCCCTTGGATCCCTTTCCTGCCAGGGGGGGGTCCCCGGGGGGGGAGTCCCCGGGGGGGGGAGCGGGGGGGGGGGGCCAGGTCAGAATACCGTTCCCCCCGGGAGACCCAGGATCCCCAGGAAGCCCCAAGACGGGCCAAGGGTGCCCACAGAGACCCCCACGACGGTCTAAAAAGGGCCCCGAACCTCCGAACGGTCGGCCCAAGACGCCCGAGGTAACCTCTAGACAACCCAAGAGGCCTCCAAGACGCCCCAAGACGCTCCCAAGAGCACTCCCACGAGGGCCGCACGAGACAAACTGCATGTAGTTCCCATCGGTTTTGGACAGATCTGGGCGTTCTAGCCTTTTCGGCTTCCCGGCGCTCCAAGACGGCCCAAGAGGCACCCAAGATCACCCCAAGCAGCCCAAGCGGCCCCCAAGACGGCCCCCAGGGAGCCCCAAGAGGCCCCCAAGAGGCTCCCGAGAGGCTCCCAAGTAGCTCTCAAGAGGCTCCAAAACTGCCCCCCAGAGGCCCTCGAGAGAGCTCCGACGAGACCCCAAGAAGCATCCCTGATGACTCTGACACACGTCAGCGTCGTCGTCATCGCCGCCGTCGTCGTCGTCGTCGTCCCCCGTCAGGGTCGGCGGCGCGTAAGGCCTTCGAAATATGTTGTGATAAACGGATGTGTGCGCGCGCACAATCATCATCACTATCACCATCATCCTCATCATCATCATCATCATCATCATCATCATCATCATCATCATCATCATCAGCATCAGCGTCATCATCATCATCATCATCATCATCATCATCATCATCATCATCATCATCATCGTCGTCGTCGTCATCGTCATCAGCATCATCATCATCATCCTCATCATCCTCATCCTCATCCTCATCCTCCTCCTCATCCTCCTCATCATCATCAGCATCATCATCAGCATCATCATCAATATCATCATCATCGACGTCATCGTCGTTCTGATCAGTTTCATCATCATCATCATCATCATCATCATCATCATCATCATCACCATCGTCATCATCAGCAGCATCATCATCCTCATCAGCATCATCATCAGCATCAGCACCATCACCATCATCATCAGCAGCAGTATCATAATGAGCATCATCATCATCAGCATCATCATCATCGTCGTCCTCGTCATCATCATCGTCCTTGTCATCATCACCATCATCAGCATCGTCATCACCACCCTTATCCCCATCATCTTTTTCATCATCACCAGCAGCAGCAACATCGTCATCATCATCATCAGCAGCATCCGTCATCATCACATCAACCACCAGCATCATCGTGTTTCGCGTCATATGTATCATCATCACCACCATCATCAGCAGCATCATCATAACCATAATCATAATCATCATCAGCAGCAGCAGCAGCATCATCAGCATCATCATCATAAGCATCACCGTAGTCGCACTTGTCGCCATGGCCCTCATCGCCATAACCGACGTAATCATTATCGTAATCGTCAGCACCGTCACCATCATCAGCAGCATAGCCACCATCGCTCCCACCATCGCAATCAGGGCCTTGCCATACAAGAAGCATGTTATTCCCCAAGCTCCTCACCACCAGCAGCAACATCATCAACACCATCTTGATCAGAAGGGTCGTCGTCATCGGCATCGTCTTCCCCATACCAACTTCACTTCCTCTGGGACACGCTTCACGCCCGGAGTACCAGGGAGCTGGGCGGCTCTCGGTGGGGTCGTACTTGCAACACAACTGCAGCAGCCGTGTGTGCATGGACCCGAGGCCACAGTTGAGGTGGTACGCCGTGTTGGAGCACACAACTATGGTCCACGCCCTGGGCAGAGGAAGGAGGAGAAGTGAGGATGAGGCCCAGGAGGAGGGAGCATGGAAACGACGATGGTGAGGGAGGAGGAGAGAGGAGAGAGGAGATGGGGAGGGATGATGGCAAGGAGGAAGACGCAGGAGGAGGGAGGATGGAGGAGGAGCCCACACCGCTGAAAGGATCCCTAGTCCGCACTAAGCCGCGCCGTCGGAGGTGCCCGCGGTCCGCGCGGGGCCTGAACTCACACCCGTGCCGTAGATGATTTGGGGCATGGCGGTGGAGTCATTGGGAAAACGTCGCACGAGAAGCCGGCGACGGCGACGGCGACGCCGTCAGAAGAACCTGCAGCGGACACTGAGCCCAAATCATCCACCACAGGATCCGTTTCATCCAGATCCACATCATGAGGTAGGGTTGGTCCGTGGAAAGTTCCGTAGCCATTCTGGCTCAAGCTGCGGCGCGCCTTGTATTAGGTTCGATGTGTTTTGATCTTCGGTTGATTCCATGGCCGAGGAACTCAGTGTTCGCCTCCATGGCCAGGCTCTGCGCATGATCTGCGACACCACGGGTCGCGACTTCGCTGGCCTTGGTGTGGCCGCACGCACGCTCTTCAAAGACAAGTCCCAGCGGTCGTTGCGGCGGAGGCTCGAGCACGTCGACACCAGCTTCGCCCCCGTTCGGCACATCAACTGTGTCAAATCAGAGTTCCTCCTGACGGAGCTCGCCAATACGCTGGGCCAGTCTGGTGGCGTCGTCTCGCCGAACCTGCAGGAGGAGAACCAGCCTCGCGATGGTACTGATCCCCATCATCGGCTTCAACTTCCTGCAGGTGCTACTCGCGATCTGAATGTTCCACATGGCGCTGATGGTGCTGTTTCCGCCGAGCGACTCGTGGACGTTCATTGTGGCCTTCCCGAACCGCGTGAAGCAGTTCGTGCTGGCCCACGTGATGACGACTCGCCTCCAGTTCCTGAGCGACTCGTGGATGTTCGCGGCGACCTCTCTGCCGAATTGCGTGAAGCTGTTCGTGCTGGTCGACTCGGCGATGTCTCGCTTCATGCCGAATATCCCTCGGAGCCAGATCGTGATGCGCCTGGCGATGCCTTTCCGGACGGCGACGGCACCGCCAATGCGATGTCCACGTTCAGCGTGTCCGCCGCTGGCTCCCTGCACAAGGTGGTGATCTACAAGCCGTGCCTCTGCGCGGCCACTACTCCAGATGATGTTTTTCCTCCTGCTGTCGAATCTCCTGGTGTTCCTTATCGAGCTCCTCGCTGTCGTGCGTGCGCTCTGTTACGGAGCTCATGCAGCACGAAGCGGGCAATGGCGTGCCGATATTGTAGGCAGAGTGCCTACTGGGACTCCTGAGAGCTTCCTCTTCCCCCCCCCTCCGTCTGCTTTTGTCTGACTGGGTGGGGGTGGGATGATGATGAGGATGATGAGAGGATGTGGTTGGATGGCTGCTACGCTTGCTATCGATCTCTGCTCTGGCATTCTATGTGTTGCTAGCCTCGCAGCCGCTTGACTTGTACAGCTTTCTTGTGAAGTACCATCAGGTGTTTCACTGGGGAGGCTGGATTGGATGGAGTCACTTGATCATGCTCGTCTCCTTGATAATGTGGCCAGGACTATTGATCCTGCTCGTGTGCCACGACAAGCTGAAGACAGCGTAGTGATAAATTCGTGAATGGGAGTTTTCCCCTTCTCTCGAATGTTGTTTTCTTGAGCCCTCCTCCCGTCTTTCCCTCACACCTGTCTGTGCTCAGCGATTGGGTGGGGGAGGCATGCAGTGGCGGGGGGACGTGAGCAGTTGGAGGTTTGAAGTGTTCAACTTTAAACGTTGTTTAATCGTCCTGTGTTGACGCCTCCGTCCCTGGACGGTTTTGAATAGTGCACTGCTCGAGGCCCTCGAGGTTTCGTGTCCCTTGTTTCTTCGGTCGGGTCCCTTCGCTCGTCCTTTGTCTGGGTTCCTGGGTCCGTCCCTCGTTCCCCCTTTCGGTCCCTTTCGGGCCCTTCGCTCGTTGTCGTCGACTTCGGGCAGGAGTGATTGGCAGGCGATCACCCGCGAGCAAATCCAAAAAAAAAGTCCGTGGAAAGTAGGAGGAGAAGCGTCCGCTGGCACCGCAACGGAGGGGGCGCCCTCGTCTCAACCAGGTCTGCACTTGGCAGCTCATGCACTGTGTCTGCAGCTTCTGTTTGCTCCATGACCGCCGCATGCATGTCCATGATATTTGCCAGAGTCGTGATATCATCTGCATAGCCGACCAACTCCAGGAGCTCCATGTGCATGTCCATCACGTCCGCTGGCGAGGGGTCACTGGCGGGTCAGAAAGCACATACATAATCCGTAGACTTCAACATGGTGATGACGTACTCCTGACTTGGACGCAAAGGGTCGGTGCAACGGAAATCAGGAATGGCGAGCACGCCCATTATCACGCCGCCCACCTCGCCAGAAGGTGCCGTCGAAATGTTCAACAGGCGCTTGAATATGGGGAGGGCTCGCTTCAGGGATTGCGCAGGAGCGCCTTGCGATGATGCACCTGCCATCGTATGCCCAAACACAGCCCTGGAGGATCAGCCAGCTCAGCTGTTGTCATGGCACCTTACCCGTCGAAGATGGCCGGATAGCTGTCCACGGGCTCATCGTTTTTTTTTCGTACGTGTGGTCACGTCGCCCAGGATGCACAAGTGCACGTGCTGCAGGAACTGTCGCGCTAGGTGGAAGCGGCAGAGGTTGGGTAGGAGACTCGATTGCGCCACAGTCGTCAGCGACCAGAAGAGGAATGTCATCAGCAGGCACAGAGTCAGGGAAGGCCGCGCCAATGGACTCCAAGAATGACGGCCTACCATCATCCGTGCGAGTCGAACAGATCTCCGTACCAACGCCGGCTGGAAGTGTGCTATTCTAGCGAGGGGGGGCGCAGGATCGCTAGAGCTCCCTGCTGGCCGTGGCGACGCAGTCGCGGTATAGCACTGCGCTCGCCCACGGTCTCAAGAATGCTGAAGTGCGACCCAAACGCCCCATCACACATGGCATCATCCTCGACCTGGGCAGGCGGGGGGGGTCCTTCAGGACCACCGCCCATGAATTCCGCCATGGCCTCTGGGTTCGCACCGGCAGGGAGCGGCACCCGCGGCGCGCCCACGTCGCGAGGACGCCGCGGAGGCGCCGGCGAGTCCCGCGACGAAGGAATAGAGCGGCGGTCATCCAGGTCGACGTCGAGCTTCTCCATCCAAGCAGCACGTTGTCCAACACCGCGCGCAACATGGAAATCGCATCGGCGGGGCGAGGACGAGCCGCGGCAAACCTGGCGGAAAAAACGGCGCGATGGTCGAAGGGCATCCTCGAGGGGCCTGGCGACAGTTGATGCATCGCCGAATGCCCTAGTGGGCTCTGCCCACTTAGGCAAATAACAGCTGGATTCATCTCATGTAGATCTGCCTCGGGAAGCCGTCGCAACTGCTCTTGTGCGATCGCCGAACCGTACTGGGCTGACAGGCAAATTTATTCAGCTGCGCGTCTGCGTCTGTCATTGCCTCTCTTCGCAGCATCTCCCACCAATAGAATGAACTTCTGGCAATGGGGCACTCCGAACACGCAGTCGACACGCCAATCAAGCCAGGCACAGCGGCTGAAGCCCAGGGTGTACACATCTCGAAGACACAGGCATTGGAGCTCTTGATGGATTGGGAAGGCTTCTGATCTGCATGCGGCTGCGACTGGATAAGATACGACGGCAATGATGACCGGCTGCTCTGTCCCGCGGACCAAAGCGATGGCTCGCAATCATTTCCACTCGCTGACAGCGGAGACGATCCGCGCGTGACAGGAGGGTTTGACAACTGTCCTATGCACAGATCCAGCTACAGCCCAGAGTCTCACATGCACGCAGGTAACTCTGGAGCGCGGCACGACGAGGCGCGGCGCGTCGAAAGCATGCCCATATGGGACGCGCTCGTCGATCCAGACGTCGCGATCTTGCAAGACCTCCCCCAGCTATTTCTCAAGATCCGCATGCCACGCAAGATGAAGGATTACTCGCACGGCTTCGGCAGCGCCGCGCTCGGGGAGGATAGCGGGAAAGGGATTGCCCGGGGCTCGCTTGACTGGAGGAAGAGAAGAGGCAGGCTGCAAATTGCCCACATCAACGTCGACCGCGTTCGTCTGGGAACAGACGAGAGAGGCCGAAGTTCTCCCCTCAAAGTAGCAGTTTCACCATTCTTAGACACACCCGCAGGATGACAGGCGTCGAGGTGGACAACTAATCGCGCGCAGCTATATTTAGAGTAGAACCACACAAACCGCGCGAGCTCGCTCGCCAGCACCGCCCTTCGCGCCCACGACGAAGGCGACAGAAGAAACATCGTGAGTTCGTCGAACGACGGCAATTGCGTCAGCATCGGGAGCGACCACTCCAGCCACACCGTGAAATCGCCCTTCCCCTCGGTCGGGCCAACTTAAGACGGCGCCCACCAGGCTGACCAACTGACAGGCCTGGCGAGGAGGCACCCATCGGCAAGATCGCCCGCGAGAAGCCGCTGCGGGAGACCCCCTCCCCCGCGGAGCGGACAGCGCCCCCAAGATGCGCCAACAGCGACGCGGACGGGGAGCGCACCATTAGGAGGCAGCTGGCAGGCGAGACAGATCCGCCCCCCGCCCCCCCCCCCCCCACCGCACCCCACCCCACCCCACCCCCACAAAAAAACACGCACGCACGCACGCACGCACGCACGCACGCACGCACTTACACACGCACACACACACACACACAACCACCACAAAACCACCACCACCACTACCGCTGGAGGTAGAGGCGGAGGGGCGCTGTCCGCGGCGATCGAAGTGCGGATGAACCTCGCGGAGACCCTGCGCCAACTGCCAGAACAAGCGAAGCCCACCATGCATAGGTCACTGCGAAAGAGCGCCACAAACAGGCTGCCAGGGCTGCCGAGCATTGGGCTCCTCAGAGAGTCGGCGACGGCGCTGCAACTCTGTTTTGCGCTCAGCT